AGTGGTTTAATGGTTAGCCCTGACCACAAGTGGAAGCCTCGGTAACTGCGCTGTAGTAATTTACATTGTAACTATTTTATAAATTATTAATAAAGATATGAGCAAAGCCTCACCTTAACACCAAAAAAAAAAAAATAATAATTTTATTTGGTCAACTTACATATTTTGATAATTTATTATATTTAAAAAATTGAGTAATAAAGTTAATATATAATTATTGTATAGCAAAAAAAAAATAAACTAAAAGTATACTTATCTTATTTGTAATGACGATTGCTATAATTATATATATATAATAATAAATTAAATTAATATCTTATATAATATAACAAGTAAAGCAAAAGTATACTGTAATTATTATATAGCAAAAAAAAAAAGCCAAAAGTATATTATCTCATTTGTAATGACAATTGGCTATAATTAGATGTATAATAACAATTTTCCGAGTTTTATTATATTATTGGTATTTAAATTAAATTAAAGAGACCTGGGTTAATAGTGCAGTGGTTAGCACTCTGGGTCTCAATCGCAAGGTCACGGGTTCAAGTTCAAAGTGCGACAAAAACTCTGTCAGGACCACGATTGGAAATAATCTTCAGGAGGTTTCTATAAAAGAAAAAGAGCAAGATTTATACGAAAGAAAGCAGTCACTAGCATAACCACAGAGTCAGGAATAACCAGATAAGGCGTAATCTGTCAACAAATGACGCTAACATTGAGGAAGCCCGGTTTCAGATTAATAGAACATTAGTAAACATACAGATGATCCGGCTAGTGGGTCATGTAAAATTAGGGAACTGCGGATCTCAAAGTTTGGATCTTATACCGCGAAGCCAAGGACTCGGGACATCATATGACAGACTTAATGGAGCATAAGCTATCTCACAAGTATGGTGAAGAATTAGCGGCCACCTGCCGTCTATTGATCTTCGCAAAATGATGAATCTGGTCTTTAAGAAATGTGACAGATCCTAAAGGTGTCTAAGGACCTTCAGGATAGCGGAGGGAGGTAAAGTTAAAAAAAAAAAAAAAAATTAAATTAATATTATATATAATATAACAAGTAAAAGCAAAAGTATACTTATCTCATTTGTTATTTTGTTTATTGTGTCTGCAATGATAATACATATATAATAATTTGCTAATATTTCTTATTATTGATATTTCTTGCTAGATTTGAATATAACAAATAATATTATATATAATATAATACTAGTTTTTTACAATAACTTATATCATATAAACATTTATTGTTATGTTTTAATTGAAGAAACAAAAATCATCTTAAATTGATATAAATCAAATAAAATCACTTAAAATCTTTTCAAATTATTGTCTATCTGCTATATTCTTATCTTTTGTATTTGATTATTTACAATTAATATATTGCTTTTATTTTTATTTTTTTTGTTCAATATAGTTTCTTTTGCTTTCTTTAAACTCTCTTTTCTTTTTCATTTCTTTATTTTTTTTCTCTCTTTTTCTACTTTTCTAAAATGTGTTAGCAGTGTGAATATTGTAATTGAGAGTTTTCTAGATCTTTTGCCTTAATACAACATATTTTTTAAAGACATCTTTATTTTCAAGAATTAACAGAAGAAACTGCTTCAAATAAATTGAATGATAGTATTTAGAATCTTCTGGAATATAGTTCTAATTATGAATTCTTTTCAGAATCTGATTCTAATAATTCTATAATATACAGGTTAAATTTGTTATAATTGTTCTAAGTTATAAACTGCTATCAAATAATTGTTTTTTATATAGAACAAAGATAACTATCTGGATTAGATTCTTTTAATAAAGTTTATAAAGTAAATTGGCTATAAATAGTTATTAAATTATAAATATTAATTAACAATATATATTATTTAAAATGAAAACCTATTAGCATTATCTAGTTCTGATATAAAAATAGAACCTCTTTTAACAAATATTTCTTCATTGGTAGAATATGATCTTGAAAACAATAAAGGGACTTCATTCAATAATGCTTTTACTAACTTGTAACATTTACTAATTATTGAATAGCTTAATGAAGCATATCATAAATTCATAAAAATAATTAATAAGTATCAACTATTTAATTTAGCTAGTGATGCTATTATAAACCTCTTCAACAAGTTTTCAAAATTGGCTATTTCACTATTACTTTTGTTAACAAGAATTAGAAAGAAATTTCTAAACAATTCTACTATCTCTTACATAATATTCAAAGAAATTTTGATTACAATATTTCAAAATATTGAATATACACTATATTATCGATCATTAATTAAGATAATAAAATCTTTGTTAATAGTTAATAATATCAATCAATTACTGGCTCTTCGCTATGAAGATAAAATAGAAATAATAGATAGTAAAGAATATTATTTATTTGAAAATCAGTACAATTATAATTGGTGGTAGTGAGAAGAATTAGAATTACTTCTTAGACAATATTTGTTATTGATTATACTCTATTTGGATATGATAATACTTGATTATATAAAAAAATCCTCTAGATATTCAATATTTTTATCACTTGGCAACAGTGTTGGTAAATGACCAGATATGACCTAAATGACTAAGTGACCAAGTCACAAAGCATATGGTCATTTTAGTCATATTAAATTTATGTGACCTGATATGATCTATATATATAGTTAATAACGATTCTGATTTATTAATTATTTACAGTTGTATTTATAAAATACTTTATTAAAAAAAAGCATTTTCGAAACTAAATTTAAAAACCTTGTACAAAAAATTAAAGATTAAATTAATAAATTTCGAATATTGATTGTTATATATTTTGAGTTTTTTAAATATATTAAAAGTTTGTATTAGACATTAAATAGTTTTTTAATCTAAAATCTTTTAAATACTTTTCGCATATTTTAAATATAAATATTTCTTTATATGCACAATAAATATTTGATTAAAAAATCAATTACATATTTTAACACTTTTATATAAATGTTAAATAGTATAATTTTTGATAAAAAAAATAAACTATTATTGCATTTCTAATAAAATGAATTTCCAACTTTTATCCCATCTAATACAATTATATCTACAAAAATTTCATTATTGTCTTTAACCTTTGTAATCATAATAGAATTTATTTGATTATTGTATAACCTCCTAATGAATAAGCAATAAAACTGTTTCTAGCTTTATAAAGAAGAATTTAAAATTATATAGATTATTTATTCAAAATATGTATTAATTTATAAAATAATAAATTACAAATAAATAAAAATAACAAACCTGATTATTGAAAAGTTTTAATAAGTTGGTAATTCTAAATTGAAAACAAACAATGTTGCTAATAGCTATTTTGTAGTTTGATTATCAGCAGGATGTACTTTTTTTCTACCAAAACTAAAGTCATTATCCATTTTATCAATTAAAAATATTTTATTATTAGAATCATTACACTTGTTTTCATATTCAATAGCTTGAAGCTATTCTTCAATAAATATATTCCACTCTTGTACTTGTTCTTCAGAATTAGATTCATCAAGTTCGCTTAAAGCCAAATCATCTTCATTATTGATATTTTTATCTATATCGATAATATTGTTAATTTGCAAATCATCTTTAAAAGAACTATCTATATCTTCAAGATTACTTAAATCTTCATTTTCAACAATTGGTGTAGTGAGATGTAAATGTTGAATTTTAGTATCTAATTCTCTTGCCTGTTTTTGGCAATGATAAAGTATATCACTTCGAATTTGGCTCATTGCCAATACTTTTTTACTTTATTATTATTTAAATAAAAATAGTTAGCTTATTTATTATTTTAATTTTAATTATAATATAATAAATAGGATTATATAATTTAACGCATATGTATTGTAATGCATCCCTGATCAACCAATTAAAATGTAAGATCAGGTATAATGTTACATAATCAGAAAAATTCAAAACAAGTATTTGTTTTGCCAAAAATCACCTATAACTCAAAATTTTGTATATGTAACTACCTTTTGGGTTCTAACAAAAAAAATTCTTTGCAAGATTTTACTATAAACTCATTTTTTATAACTACTTTAATGCTAACCCTAATCATATAAAAAACTATTGTTTTGATTTTATATTATACCTGATCTTATAGGGTGCGTTACAATGCACCTGCGCAAAATGATTAAATCCTAATAAATATACTATTATATTTAATTGATTTTACCTATTTGTATGAAGAAAACCTATATTACTCTATAGCCTTTCAACAGATGCTGAGTTTACACAAACACCATGAATATATATTGCAACTTTTGCTAATTCTGGCCCAATACTAGCTGTTAAATTCCAATAGTCTATTAAATTACTATTAAATTGTAAAAAAGTTTCATAGTCATAAGGATTCTCACTTTGCTTATATAAAATTATTTCAGCTACAATTGATAAAGACAGGAATCAAAAAATGCATAATAATAGTATTTTAACCATTGACCTATATGGGTCCAAGTTAAATTATTATTTGTAGATTAAAATTTTTTTAATTTATAATATGGATAAAAAACAATTAAAAGAATAAGAAGTGGATATTCCCACTCTTTCCAGCATTTTTCAATTCTTTTAACTATTTGAGAACCAAAAACAGAATCTTGATGTTCTTTAAAAATCTTAATTGTAGATGCAAAACAATGTACTACTTCAAATAATCATGCAGTATCTTTCTGTAGTTTATTTAAAAAACTACACAAGAGATAAAATATATATTGTAATAAAAAAAGAATAGACCAAAATTCTGAATTGTTAATAGTATTAGCAATATCATCTAGAAGTTTACAATTTCTATTTTGAGTTAAAAACTTATTCACTAGTGCTGAAGGTTGTCCATTGTTATATATTATATTAATTCTATGCAGATTAAATTTTATAGAAATAAACTAAATAAATAAAAATAATTGTAAATAAAACTAATTAAGTATTATTTCAAGTATTAATTCATTTACTATTAGAATTATATTATAATTTTTATTTTTAGTGTAGCTTGAGTCTTTATTATTAAGACAAAACATGAGTAATAACTGTTCTATCTTGTATCACTTGGAGATATCAAATATATATGCTTATTATAAAGTCTCATTTGTTCTTCATGAAGATGACCTGTAAAAAATACTAATTTATTAAAATAACTAACTAATCTAATTACTTTATTAGATATTCTACGATATAGCATATTTTTTTTAAAAACTTTACTAAAAATAAGATTCATTTGGTGTGCTATACACGGTAAAAAAATTTTATCTTGATATAATCTTCTCATTTGGCATCTATTAATAAAAAATATAATCTATTTAAAAATATTCATATTTAGTAATTATTTTTATTAGAAATTTTTACCTTGCTGCAGCATATTTGCCTGCTGAATCTGAAACAAGTGCTTTTATTTTAATATTTTTTTTTTTTGCATCTTTCATCATTTTTTCTATATGTCGAATCATATCAGCTATACAAGATCATTCTGTACTTATTAGATAAGCACCCTAAACCAAAGGTTGTTCTTTTGATATAATAAATACAATACCCCATAATTGTTCTATTTTAATATTGAACCATTCATCAAAAGTAGCTATAATACCATATTTATCATTTGCTGCAATTTTTACAATATCTTGTTTAAGAGATTTAGCTGTATTCATTAATATTTGATCACCAATTGATCTATAATTAGGAAGAGAAAGTTCAGGTGCAACAAAATCAAACAGTACTTTGGTTTCTTCATTTTCTACAAATGAAAATGCAAGACTATTAGACACTATTATTCTAATAAATAACCGCTCAAATTTTGATATATCATTTGCTGATAGTTGATAATAATAGTAAGAAGTTAAATATTCTTGATAATTGCTAGTAGAATTAAGACATAATATCATCGAATTGGAAGATGTAGAATTAATGCTTTATACTATCGAAGTAAAAGACCTTTGTCTTTAGTTGGAATAGATTTGCTATTAACTAATTATTAAAAAATACTTTAGTAAATTATATTTTAAAATTTTACTTAATTACTATTACAAACCTTCAGAACTATTAATTTTGTCTTCAGATACCAGTAAAGCAAGAATTTCTTCAACTATATCTTTAAAAAACGATTTTTTAAAATTTTCACACTTTTTCAAATATGCACAGCATAACTTTGCCTTGTTTGCTATACAACATTCTGCCCTCAATTTAGCTTCTTCTACAATAGCGAAAAATACTTTTTTTAAATAATCCATAATAATAGCAAATATACTTTTTTTTACTTTTTACAATAGTAAAAAATACTTTTTTTTAATAATCTGTAATAATAGCAAATATACTTTTTTTTAATAATCTACTATGATAGTATATAATAGTATATGATACTCTTTGTAAAAAAAGAAAATTTATATAATCATAAATAATATTTTTTTCTTTTTTTTTTTAAAAAAAAAAAAAACTATCATATCTGCAAACAATTGTTTTATAAAATGCCTCCGGTACTACATAAATTTCACCTATATTTTGTACTTACTAAAAATACCAAAAATAAGAAAATGCAATTGCCATATGTCTTAACTGTATTAATAATTGTCACGGCTGAAGCTGGAAATGGCTGAAGCTAGAAATTAGAGGTCTCGATTTAAAACTATAAGCCC